TTCTTCTTCTTCTTCTCTCTCTCTCTCTCTTCTCTCTCTCTCTCTCTCTCTCTCTCTCTCTCTCTCTCTCTCTCTCTCTCTCTCTCTCTCTCTCGTCTCTCTTTTAATCGGAGAAGATATTTACGAACAGTTTAGATCTTTCCCCAGTGTGCCAAAGAATTTAGTTCAACTTATCTCGTTACACGAAATCAAACTCTTGTCTCTTCAATTTTACGAGTAGCGACTACTGAATACAAATTAACGCATAACGTTTCAATATTTCGTATCTGATTCGATTATAGCTGTTAATACTCTCGGAATATTCTTAACTTTTGCTTTAATCGAGTACTTTTATTTATCGCAAATAATATATTCGATTATCTATTTATTGATTAACACGTTAAAATATCAAAATCTGGAGATAGCCGTAAATTTTATGACTTTACCTATCAGATATCGATCGTATTCCAAGATTAGAATGGCTATCAAGGAAATTGTAAAGCAAAGGGTTAAACTATTTACGAACGAATCACAACTTGTTTACGCTTATTATTTTTATTCGATCCATATTTCGATAAGCGGATCGGCCAACTCCCTCCCTTCTTCTTCCTCCGATCCCTCGACAAGGAAGAGTGTAAACAGATGTAAAGTCGCATTATCATAATCGCGATAACAACAGCCGCGACGTCTCTTTTGTCGTCAAAGGCGTGATCGTCATCGTTTTCGCGATCGATGCATCGACTTATCTCTCGTAACGCTACCGGTATTTCCATGCTAAAGTTCGATCGGCAATAATCTCGCGATTATACGAATCTCTCCCTCCCTCCCTCCCTCTCTTTTCACGGAATGGAAAAATTTAATAGACTCGCGCTTTATTGCCCGCTTTATTGGCCGCTTATAAAATCGATGCAATTAAACGTGATTACACGGAATTCCAGAGCGTTGAACGATCCCTGGTCGCTCTCGCTTATCGATGCTTTTTGAACGGCGCGCCAGTCGATCTTAATTAACGAAACGTGGCTAGCTTAAGTTGTAAAATCATTCGTCTTCTTATTCTTGAAATTTTTATACGTGGAAAAATTCCATCAACGATCGTTCAACGGGATTTGACAGAATAGAAATTAATTTATATATTTTGCTCGCGAAAATCTGGATCGAGCGCGAACGATTCAAAGCGGTATCCAATATTGAATCATAATCTATAGATTGAGATACTCTAATCCGTGAAACGTAACGAAGTTTTATCGATTATTATCTGATTAATTCTCGTCTCTTCTACGAAGCTTCCAACTAGATTTCCTAAGTCCTGTCCATATGCTCACTCACCTGGCTACCTTCGCTGATCGTTCAATCGTTATCTCTCGTTCAAGGATAGCTCGATTACCCTACGATCCATTTTTAAGTAGATCGCTAGATGGGCGTGCTTCCATCCCGCCACTTGCGTCGATCGAACTTTAAAAATTAATCTTTCATCCTTTCTCGTGTCTCGAAGCAGTTTGTGAAAGAAAAAAAAAAAGAAAGAAAGAAGCAAAGAAAGAAGATAGAAAAAAAAACAACGCAGAATTTCTTACAAAACGAGCCGTGCGCAGCTGCTTGCTTCATCTTCGAAACCTGGCAATTAACCAACTTATCCATAAAAGAAAAAAAAAAAAAGAAAAGAAAGAAAGAAAGAAAGAAAAGGAAAAAAAAAACTTTTACAATCTTTTCTCCATCATCCCTCCCGAAAGATTAACTTCAACTTCTTGCCCGATTCTTTCGACGACTTTGTCCAGATTTCTTTACAACCTCCAGGTCAATCTGGTTACCTTGAGTAGTGAAGATCCTCGGAGAAAGTCAACGAGCGAACGAACTTTAGACGCTGCCATTACATATACATACATATATATCCTCTCGTTTGAGCGTTGCAGGAAGAGCGTGCTGGCTCGACTCGTCCTGGCGTTTTCCTGCCACCAACGTGTCGTAAAGTTTACGCAGGGTGCAATTCGTTTTATTGCGCGTAGACAATCAAGGTTTGGGACTGTTCCTCTAATTCCTCTCGAAGGAAGGAAGAAGGAGGGGGCCCTTTTATTTTTCGATCTCTCGTCGATTCCGGCCGAGGTACAAATGGGCCGACAAATCGTTACATAATTCCGAAACCCGTGGTTGGCGCGAGAAACGACGACGCCGAGCGAAAAATGGAAGCTTTCACGGCCGGGTGTCGAGGGGGGAGAAACGCACGATGGCCGAGAAGGAAACACAGAAGAGCAACACAGCCACAGTGGTGGAGCAGCTGCTTCGTATATCTCTCGGCAGGATCGTCGCACACACCGCCAACTTGCATACCACGCTGTCCTAAACAGACGTGCCGGAACGAGAGCATTCTCTAAATATTATCGCGCAATATTTTTATCTTGCGCCGGATGATACAGCCTGATCCTCGTGGAATTTTCCTCTGACGTACAATACCATGCATATATATATATATATATATATATTATTATTTTATACGCTAGGCTGTTCATTCTTACCTCGTTCGCGAAGAAAAAGAAAGAAAGAAAGAAGAAGAGAGAGAGAGAGAGAGAGAGAAAATTAAAGCAAAAAGATGGAGGTAAATGGTTTTGCTCTTATTTTTATCAGGCTCGGGATAGAAAGTGGCCGTTCAATGGTACTGGCTCGATGCTTAATTCGTTTCATTCCTCCATAAATATGGAGGATCTCGGATATTTAACGGCGGCCAGCGCCACATTAATAGCGCTCGTATCGCTTTATACATATGCATGGACTCAATTAGCTGTCACTCGCAGCCCCCCTGCCTCTAATCACCGTGATACAGTTCGTTTCGATCGAGGGCCGATAAAAGGCAAGCAAACTTTCGCGCGAATTCTCTCCCTTCCCCCCTAGAAACCACTTCCCTCTCCGCGTGAAATTCCTTCCTTCCTATCGAATATTAAATTTTTCCGAAGTAAATGTAATTCGCAACACGTGGAAATAATCGGCGGATAAAATTGGAGAGATGGGGCGAGGAGAGGCTGCTTACAATTTGTAATCGACGTGGATACCTGAACGGGCGTTTAGGCCGCCGCTTGGGGATCGTGGATCGAAAAAGCACGGTGACAGGGCCCAGTGCAAGAACTAGTTCCCCCCTACGAAGAGTTGACAGTATTTTTGTGCGGCTTACAAGACGCCTTCATTATCCATACACCCGATGCGAGAGGAACTCCCATTCAGAATTCAGCCTCATGAATATACGTTCCTCGGGGCCCCGTTCCCAGAATTCTTCGCAATAGTCGCGGGGCTCGACCGGTTAACTCGATTTTAACGTTCCACCCGTTTTTCCGGCCGGATTCCTTCGTTGTCAGTCGGCACGCTCGATTTAATCGTTCGAGATCGCGATTCTCTTCCTGTAACGATTCTTCGAATCCGTTGAATTTTTTCCTTTCTTTGCCTCGTCCTTTTTGGCCTCGATCTTTTCCTCGCGATTTCGAATCGATCTCCTCCTATTCGCTTAAAGAGAATCAATTATCAATCGAATTAGAAAATTCGTTACGAAACGTCATATCGATGAAACGGATATTTGGCACGATTTGATCGAGGAAGAACGTTTCGAATTCGATATTCAATCCCATACGTACGAGCGTTTCTGTCTTCTAATCGGATGGCTTGGCTCGAGAGAGAGAAAGAGAGAGAGAGAATAATCTGGCGCGGATTCCACGAGATTAACCGGTACTTCCATCGAGATTTGTCGTCCATCTCATTCCGTTTTTTCTCCTCGATCCTTTCAGTAAGAACATCGTGGGTCCAATTAAGAGCGGATCCCCCGAGCATCGAACAGACTCGTCCCTTTTGTTCTAGTCTGATCGTCACTAGGCGGCGCCATGAAAATGCTTGAGAATCTCTCCCTCTATGGCCTCCTCTCCTCTTTATACCACTCTCGGTTTTTCTGTGTTTTCTTCCTTCTCGCCCATCCTGGCCGGCCGCGGTGTTTGCAGGAATTCCATCGCGTTCACCGGCGCGTTTCCGTTTCTACACGTACGAATCGAACAGCGGGGATCCAATTAAAAGAAAGCACGAGTAAAGGAAATCATTTGGATCAGAGAGCGAGCGAGAGAGAGAGAGAGAGAGAGAGAGAGAGAGAGAGAGAGAGAGAGA